TTGGGTTCATGGTTCAGGACAAACAGTTCGGCTGAGTTTTGTGTTTGTCCTAAAACCATGAATCGCCAAAAACGAATGGTGAATGGAGATAAAGTATAGTTTATTAATTTTTGCTCAGCTCATCATTGGTCGAAACACGGTTGCCAGATAAGCTATGGAATTTCAACATCGTTCTGCCTGAAGACGTTCACTGTTGGTTGACGTGGACAGCATTGAATCCTGAACGCAGAAGGATATGAAGCAATTTGTTTTCAAAGCATTTCACATATCCTATTTTAAAAAATACTGGAAATTTTTGAAATCCTCTGTTGCAGTAACACACGGACTTCATGGTATCATGGTTACTGGTAAATAATAGATTTGCTACCGGTGTTTGATTGTTTCCACTGTAAGTCGCTGGACTGAATTCGATGCTACGGTAAGTTAGTTGTTTAATAAAATTAGCCCATGCTGAACCTTTGACTAGGTAGCTGGATATGTAGAGTGCGAGGTACTTATACAGTCATCACAATATTCACAGTGAAGAAATGCGTCAGAAACGCAAATTAGTTGTGACATTAGGTTCGGAAAATTCCTTGATCGATTGCCAGGAAAATTCTGCATTACTTAGCATTACGTTGTGCTTCGAGGACACGTGTAGCTGTTTTCAAAAGTAAGTTGTGACCTGACGACCTCAGTTTAGCAGGTACCCGGAAATTACTGAAAACCTATGGCTTGATGCAAATTAGATTTCAATGGTTCACTTGTTATGTGCAGTTCGATAATTTCTAAAGGTCAGCCGGTCAGAAACGAGAAAATTGCCTTTTGAAATCCGCCTGAACAGCTTGAATCACCATCATTGTTAATTTTAAAGCAAAAACTTTGAACTTGAGCTTTTACAAGACATTTTTGTCATTTTACGTCTTCTTCTCATTTTCTCTCTTTGCGTTCCCTTGTAACCTCAATCGCTCCTCTGATCATGACCATTTTTCTACCGCGAAAGCATGTGCTAAGCGCTAGCCGGATATTTCGCCGTCCCACCTAAGTCTCTGCGGAAATTCGAAGCTTCATATCTCATGGTCGAATGGAAAATCAGTTTTATCATTTCCATCAATCGTCTGACCTGTTTAGGATATCTTTCTTTTCCCATCCAACAGATACTTTTGACCTTCATCCTCATCGTTTACACAAACGAGATCTGGGTCAGAAAAAATTGCCTCAATTTTTTAAATTTAAGAAAAGTTTCGAAGTACTTGAATGATGAGGTTCGGAGAAGCTCCAGAACACATTAGTCAGAAACATCCTCGCGTTTGAGTTGTTCCTTGTCGATGTCCAGAGGTCACAGTTAAAACTGGGATACGTGATCAGACCGCTGAAATGGTCAGTGGCTTAACGGACTTTGTTTGCAAAGTCATACGGAATGCCACTCAAGGGCGAATCATATCGCAGGTGTAGTGAGGGGGAAGGGGAGGGGGGCAGAGGCACAGTGGAGTATTATTTTGCTGTGCTGTTTGAA